GTATAGAACCTAAAGAACCTAAAGCCAAGGGGTTGAAGACCCTACTTTGTTCCTGCAGGGAGCAAAATCAGTGCAGAAATAAACTTATATGTCCGAGTCATGTACCACTTGAGATACTGAGGACATTTTTAAATTCTTGGTCAAGATGAATTTTTAGGGTGAATTTTCATCTCACAGAATCACAGAGGGTGGGAAGGGACCTTAAAGCCCCCCCCCAGTGCCACCCCCTGCCCTGGGCAGGGACACCTCCCACCAGCCCAGGTTGCTCCAAGCCCCCTCCAACCTCCCCTTGAACCCCTCCAGGGATGGGGCAGCCACAGCTTCTCCACGCAACCTGGGCCAGGCTCTCACCACCCTCACAGCAAAGGAGTTCTTCCCCACATCTCACCTCAATCTCCCCTCTTTCAGGGTCAAACCCTTCCCCTTCCTCCTAGGGCTCCCCTCCCTCATCAAGAGTCCCTCCCCAGCTTTCTTGTAGGCCCCCTCTCTACAAGCCCATCTGCACATATCAGATGGAAATTAATATTTAGCAAAGCAATTTGGCATCTTAGTACTTTTCTAACATGCTGGTTTGTTGTTTCTGTCAAAGACTTCTGTAAATTCTTGTTTTGATGCAAGCCCTCAAGCAAATTGTCCTTGTAGGGGAAGAACATCTCTGTCCTGTCATCTTCAGGCAGCCCACCTTGTACTTACCCTGGGTGACAGCAGAGGACAGGGACTGGGGACCAGGACCAGCCCTGGCTGTGCACACTGCTGCTGGCAGCACTGGGCCAAGAGCTGGAACGATGTATTTAATGAGCCAGAGACTCATTAAATGAGCCAGAGACTGGGGTGACTCCCACGGGTCTCACCCGAGGAGCCACAGCTGATTTCTTTGCTCTTCAGGGAGTGTGAGCACTACAGAACTGTGTGCAAGTAGGTTTTTCCTCTCTTCTCTGAAAAAAATGGCAGAGTGCAGAAATGGGAGTGAAGGCAGCTTTGGGGCACTGGCTGTAAAAAAATTAAAAAAAAAAAAAAGCAAAAAAAGTGTATTCAGAAAATCCCTCAGTTTTGCCCTGCTCTGAGAAACTTTTGCTTTCTGGAAAGCAAGGAGACCCAGCCCTGGTGCCTTCCATCCCCCAGTGCCTCCGTGCAGCTCCCCAGTTTATAGATAGGTACACTTTATATATATATGTTTTTATGTGTCTGTATCACATTTAGATGGATAGATAGATAGGTAGACAGGCAGACAGACTAAATACAAGGAAACAATGCAAGGAAACAAGGATAATAAGAAAAATTCCCCAAAAGTTCCCAAAAAAAAGCACAAACCAAAAGAACCAGGCAATGGATTCATAATCAGAAACTTTATTTTGAGATCTTTTTTGATTCTGTGATAAATGTAGAGAGGGTGGGTGGTGAGGTACAGAGATGGTGGGTGGTGTGATGTTCCCTTTGTCCATGGCTGTGGGGACCCCCCCAAATCCCTGCCAGAGCAGGGTCACCCAGAGCAGGTCCCACAGGAACATGTCCGGGGGGGGTTTGAATGTCTCCAGAGAAGGAGACTCCACACCCTCTTTGAGCAGCCTCTTCCAGGGCTCTGCCACCCTCACAATAAAGAAGTTCCTCCTCATGTTGAGATAGAACTTCTTATGTTCCAGTTTGTGCCCGTTACCTTTTGTCCTGTCCCCGAGCACCACTGAGAAGAGACTGGCCCCATCGTCCTGACACCCACACCTTAAGTATTTATAAGCATTGATGAGATGCTCCCTCAGTCTTCTCTTCTCCAAACTAAAAAGGACCAAGCAGATAATGAGGAGGATCCTGATTTTAATGAAAATTTCCAGTGACAGAACTGCCCATTGAACCTCACCCAGCTCTTGACTTTCCTTGACTTGGATTGGCAGCTCTGGGGATGGGGAACGTGCTCCTCTGCTTTGACTCCATCGCACGCTACCTCAGCCCTTGGCAGGCTCTCACTCACTGCCACGACACCAATAACAGTAATTTATGGCTGCAAATTGTAGAGCAACCATACTTTGTTCAACAAGCACTAGTACTGGAATGAAAGGCCACCCAACTCAGCAGGTTGATGGCTTTATGGATGCAGAGTCCTTCAGGAGTTAACATTTAGCTGGAACTTGTTCCTTTCCTTGCTGTGCATCCCCAAAAGGCAGGGAGACAGACAGACAGACACTACAAAATGTCTTTATCTGCTATTAAGTTTTTTCACTCTGTCTTCTTCTTCTTGCATTTATTCCCTTTCCGTAATTTAGAAAATTACCTTTGGAAGGAATAGATAAACACCACTTTGTGGAAGCAGAAATTTCTAGCACCGATCTGATGAAGAGCTTCATTTCCTGAATTAGGAACGAACTAATTCATTATCCACACAGCACAAAGCAAACCAATACTTGTAAATAGCAGCTCAAGACATTTGTGGGGAGGAGCACTGAAGGTAGGTGGTATGGTCTGGGTTGGGAGGTTCAGGGCGTAAGGGAAGGTGAAGGGAGGTTTCAGGGGAGGCCAGGAGGGGGGTTCAGGGCTGCCCTGTGCCAGACACAGATCACAGAATCATAGGGGCTGGAAGAGACCTTTGAAGATCATCTAGTCCAACCCCCTGCCAAAGCAGGGTCATACAGAGCAGGTTGGACAGGAACGCGTCCAGGTGGGTTTTGATGGTTCCATCTGCATCAGTATGAGACCCATCATGCACCAAAGCTGGGAGCCAACCCCAGGGGATTTTGTGGTGTCTTTGTGGAAATACATTTAAGAAAGGGCAGAAAATGTCAGACTGAAAGAGGAGTGAGCAAAAAGAGTGAGATAGAGCAAGGTGAACATCAGGGTCAGAACAGTAGAGGTGCTCCATGGTGGTAGAAACACTCCCACTGAAGGGACTGTGGGCTGTGGAGGACCCACACCAGAGCAGGCAAAGCCCCGAAGGGACTGCACCAATGAAGAAGCCCATGACAGGTAGACCCTAAAGGGGTTGCAGTCCATGAAGGACCCACAATGGAACAGGTACACCCCCAAAGGGACAGCAGCCTGTGGGTCAGATGATGCTGGAGAACTGAAGACAAGCAAGAACGAAAGGAAACTGGGATGCACTGACCCTGACCCACCCCTTGCTGAGGGGACTGAGTGAAACCTGCGCTGATGAGAAGGAAATGAGAGGAGTCTGGGGTGAAGAAGTCACTGGGTACCACTCTGATACTTTCAAGGAGTCATTAGTCATAACTCCAGGATGCCTATTTCTGAGTGGGAATGGACAGCTCATAGCAAAACATTTTCTACCCAAAACCATGGCTGTGTTTTGCCAGAGTACCTCAGTTTTAATGAAAATATATTGAATTTTACTGTCTCATTTGTAACTATGAAGCATTACAAAGTTCTCCGATATAGTCATTTCATAAAAAGTTTCATAATATCCCAATTCACATAGAATCATAAAAAGGTTTGGGTTGGAAGGGACCTTAAAGACCATCCAGTGCCACCCCCTGCCCTGGGCAGGGACACCTCCCACCAGAGCAGGTTGCTCCAAGCCCCCTCCAACCTGGCCTTGAACCCCTCCAGGGATGGGGCAGCCACAGCTTCTCTGGGGCAACCTGGGCCAGGCTCTCACCACCCTCACACCAAACAAGTTCTTCCCCACATCTCATGTAAATCTTCCTTCTTTTCTTTTAAAATCCTTCCCCCTCCTCCTAGGGCTCCCCTCCCTCATCAAGAGTCCCTCCCCAGCTTTCCTGGAGCCCCTTGAGGGACTGGAAGGGGTTCTGAGGTCTCACTCTCTCAGCCTGTCCTACCCTAGGTCTCTGATCAGGGGAAGAGGAACTGCTGAGGACAGCCTGGGTGAAGCAAACAGAGACCCCAAATGACCTGGTGACCCTCATGGCAGCGTGGTGATGAGCCACCATGTACAACATGTGCTTGCTGGACCTGGGGAGTTCTTACCTGCTGGGCTGCAACTGCCAAAGCTCGGTCAGGGCTTGCAACATCTACAGAAATACTGGTAAAACAGGCCAAAATTTGTTTTTGTGGCACATAAATTCATTAGACACTGTGAGCAGGAGTCTCCTTTGGTGATAGTCCAGATTTATAAACATGCCAGATATGTAGAAAAACACATTTCTTACTCTAAGACTTGGAGAAAATATAGGAAGTAGACACATCAATTCAGTAGAAATATTATGGATTTCATTCTTATTTTGTGTGCTCTGTTTGCAGCACAGATCTATGAATCAGATTTACAGGAGCTTGGCGCATCAATAAATAACTCAGGCAACAGAAATTGCATCTAAGTCATTTGAGGACAACCACAACTGAAAAGACAGCTCAAAAAATCAGTGTTCGGGGGTGTCTGTGCTCCTCCCCATGGCCCTGGGAGCTGGACCCCAACCCCTCAGTGCAAACAGGGGTGGGGGAAGGGGACAGAGCTCTGCCTCTGCTATTGGCGGAGGGGGATAAGGTGGATGTATCAGGTCTAACCTTACTCTCCCCCACCCACCCTAGTTAGGTGGTCCAGCAGCAAGAACTCTTTGGAGATGACCCACAGGCCGTCGGCTCATCTCCTTAGAGAGAAGAAATGCAGCCTGTGGAGCTCAAACAAGAATGTTATTTACCTCCAGCTCACCCTCAGCCTGGTGACGTCAAAGCTGAATACCCTGAAAATTTTGGAGTTTTGCACAGGCTGACCTCTGGATTTAGCACCCTCCTCAGCTCTCCAAGCAGGCTTTGCTGCTTCCTGCAGGCAGCGATGAGCCGAAGTGCTCCCATTTTCAGCACATACGTACAATCCTCTCACAATTTCCAAGTCCTAAAACCTGGAAAGATTCAGGAGAAGAGGTGGGAGTTGTTTAAAGTGGATCACACACTTGTTGTAGAGTGATGTGTCCAGGGTTAATTTCTGTGGCCCATCATGGGCTGCAATTTGTATGTGCAGTCGTGTGAATCTCTGAACAACCTCCTGTAGAAGGGATGTGTGAGAATTTTGATTCTCTTGAGAGAAAAATGCAATGACCTCTTCAAATCCAGCAAAAATCCAGGTCATGGATCTTTATGATTTTGATAGCATGGACCGTGGGAGGGAAAGGGAGGTAGAAATTAGCCATCAAGATGTGCATGTGGGAGGCAACATGGCAACCAAACCTGTGGATGACTGGTGAGGGAACTACAGGAGTGTAGAAGACGAGGATGATGCAAATGCGGGAAAAGCAGCTCCCAAATACCTTCAGTCTGTCCTCTTTCAAAGCCAGACTTAATACAGTCCTCAAGATCCTGAGGCAGGAGAGCCCAATGAACAGATCCAACCACACAATGAAGAGAACCATGATTGAGGAGAAAAGGCAGAGGCAACATGAGCCCAGCTTGCCCAGGTTAGAACCAGAAGCCCATTCTTGACTACCAGGGAGATGGTCAGGATGGATGGATCATGTGGCTCAGTAGGTTGCAGGTGGCAACATACTTCATGAAAGCCATAGTCAGCAGCTCCACCAACTCCGTGACTGAGAAAGTATCAAGAAAAACATATGCAAAAGGCAGGCACCCAAGGTAATCTCCTGGGTGATCTCCAGAAGATGCTCAGCATTTTGGCCATGTTGGTCAGGGACAGCACCGAGTCAATGACAGCCAGCATGGAGAGGGAGTAAAACATGGGCTTGTGGAGAGATGGCTCCTTCTTCACCACATACAAGAGGGTGTTGTTCCCAAGGAGGGCTTTGGTGAACACTGTGCTGAATGAGGTGGAAATCGAGGGGTCGTATCTTCCAGCCCAGGGATCCCAGTCAAGAAAACCCTGGATGAAGTCATCTTGTTGGAAGCAGAAAGTCTGATATTGAGAGGTGTCCTTTGCAAACTACACCTAAAAGCATCTCTTTTCAATAAAACATAATAGAAAGAATCATTAAACTTCGCAAAACATACCCAGATTGTGCCATTTTCCCTGCAACTCCTTATAGCTTCTAAAGTTGATTTTTTAATTCTGCTTTTTACTAAATCTTGGCAAGGTCACTCTGTAGAGTTTATCAAAAATGTGTGAAGTGATATCAAGACAAAAGCATAATCACCATTGTTCAGATATTAAATTCTTTGGTGCTTATTTGATTGAAGACGTCTCTCCTTCGCTGGAGCTGGTGGAGGAGGGAGAAGCTGATTCTCCAGGACTCCCTGAAGGTTGTTCTGGGGGGCTCTGCCAGCTGTGCAGAGGCACAGCCACAGCTGGAGAGAGGATCTCAGGTGGGGAGAACTCCTGGTTTGACCCAGGACAGGCGCTCCTATGAGTTCCCAGATTAAACTAAAAAAAAATCATACATCATCAGAATTCAAGCTGGGTTTCCATCCCACAACAGATCAGGACCTACATCAGGGCTAGGTTCAGACCCTCTCTTTCCTCCCCCCTCATACAACTCCTACTCCAGACTCCCCAGGATGACTCACCAGATTCCTGACCAAGCTGTTAGTAAGCAACAGCTCCTCTTCTCCAAGGACCTACCAGCAGACTTCAGGAGCTGCCCTGCAGTCTCCTGGGACGTTTCAGAAATCAGTGGGCAATCTTGTGTCATTCTTCCTCTCTCACCTTCAACTCCAGAAGACCAAGATTAACTCTTGCCTCTCAGAACTGGAGGAAACCCTCACTGCAGAAGAAGGGAGGCAGGGCAGTGATTTATCTTCTCACCAAGCTGTTTCTCTTGGCCAGAGTCCCAGCAGACTTTCCCTGTCTCCTTTTACAAAACCCAAGCAATTAATCACTGCCACCACCTCTGGGAGGCCCATCCAACCACTCCAAGTGCCCAGCATTCCCCAAGATTTCTTCTCTAGCTCTACCAGAGGTCTTGTCCTGGCTGGGTGGGCTTCCCCCACCTCCTGCCTCTCAGCCTGAAGGGTCCAGGCCGCTCTCTTGTGCTCTCTCACTACACTCCTGGGAGTGTAGTGACACTGGATCCAAATCCAGAAGCAGTTTTACAGTGGTAGGATTAAGCCTGAAGGACACATGCACCACAGGAGAAGATATAGTCATGCCCAGAGGGATATTTGCCCACCCAGAGATAAAATCTTCCCACTGTGTGGACCAAAGGTCTGTTTGGCACAGCTTAGTGCTGAGATGCTGTGGGAGAGAGGAGTGAATTTGTTTAAAAACCATTTTTATTCCTGGCTGTTCCCAGGCAGCAGTTTCTCCTTTGTGGTGATTAGTGTCTCTGAGGTCCCAGCAGTGAGTGATGAGGGTGATCAGGTTCCTCAAGGCGAATAAATATCTCCATGCAGGTACCTTTTGGTCCTGAGGGTGAGGAGTTGCCTGGTTGTGTGAGGGAGAAGCAGTATTTGAAGGTGATGTAGGTACAGACAGGGCTGCATCCAAATCATCCAGGTGAGCTGGGCAGACTAATTTTTTTTTATTATTTAATCTGGTTTCATGCCAGCGTTTTTAAGCACAGTGCCAAGCTCTGAGCCAAGTTCAAATCTTAGTCAAATTGAAGCAAATATAAAACAATCTTTCCAGAAAAGCTTCTGTGCAGATATGCCAATACATCTAAGTGGACTTTGTCTCTAGTTGAGTTAATGAGCCACTTCATTGCTGCCAGATATCCCACATTAAGTGAATATTATGGTAGACAACAGCTACTCATAGACATGGAGGCTCATGCTTCCTTGAATAGGTTAATTACAGCGGTGTTAATTGCTTGGCTGTGAGCTGTTCCTTGGTTAAATCAACTTCAAACCAGCTGCAGACTCGTAGGTGTAACGTCTGGTAACCCAGTCATCTGTGAAGATCTGTGATTGCTTGGTCATAGCTCTAGTCCTGTCCTTTCTGCTTGCACAAGCCTGAAGAGGATGGCAAACACTGCAAGGAAGGTAATAATTTGTTCTCCTTGATGGAAAGGACAGAAGTCATGAGCTCCAGTGAGGTACAAGCTTGGCACTTGTAAAATGCTCTGAAACGGGTGATTTGGGGAAAGCTTCTGCAATGGGAGATCAGGTGGTGCATGTATCTATCAGAGATTGCTTTATATCTTATGCTGGGGAGGGTGTGTGGAGGGGGTTACTCCTCTAGCTCTCTTAAAAACCCAAATTCAAGGGAACTTTTTTTGGGGCCGTATGCCAATTAGGAGCACTGGGCGTCTGTTAGGATGGTCAGATCACCATGTGGGTGCAAAAGGAGTTGACTAAATGTTTTTCAGAGGCTCAGACTGCATGGCTGGCAGACGTACAATGTCTGGGAATGATGCAAAATGTTAAGTGCACCAAATCTGGTAAATTTAATGATTATTGCTTAACGGCAGAGGGGCAGAGCTGACAAAAACAAGTGAGGAAAGAGTTAAAATCTCAGCTTCAGGTACCAGGATCTATTCACCCCTCACAAAGTCAGGGAAGCTTTGCCAGCACATTTGCAAATGAAGATTTCAGCTCTTTTTGCACTTTGTTCAATACCGAGCATCTCATTCCTGAGGGTATTTCAGTCTGTTTCACTGTTTAAAAATAAATTACAAGAAGTTAACAACAAATCTAATGGGGTAGGTCAAGGTGCCTGGTAATATCCCCCACTTCTAGAAAATATTCTGAATTTTGACTACTGCAACGAGCAAAAATTGTCACTTTACAAGTTGAACTACTTAATTGCATGAAACAAAACTCTATCAGCTTTTCCTGCCAAGGAAGCACAAAGAAATTGCTCAGAATTGTGTCACCAGAGCTGAGAGTGCCGCTCCGCTTGAGCAGCAGCAAGTCTGAAAGTGCTGCTCCCATCCCTGTTCTTGCATCTACGAATCAAAAATAACCAAAATCGCAGAAATATCTTCCTAATGCATCTTTCAATTGTAGGCTGCAGCTGCAGACATTCCTGGGGGTTGGTGGTAGAAGTGAGAGGTCCTTGTAGGGCTTGGTTAGAAGTGATGAGATGAAGGAGCAGCTCCTCCAGGTGTGATGCTCAGTGAAGGGTTGGGATGTGGCTCTTCATAGAAACATAGAATGGGTTAGGTTGGGAGGAACCTTAAAAGTTCATCGAGTTTCAACCCCCCTGCCCTGGGCAGGGACACCTCCCACCAGAGCAGGTTGCTCCAAACCCCCTCCAACCTGCCCTTGAACCCCTCCAGGGATGGGGCAGCCACAGCTTCTCGGGGCTCTTGATGCCTGGTCCATATGTGTGTGTTTGGGGTCCGGAGGCACCTTTGGTGGCTTGCACACCAGCACCCTGGCTGCAGGGCATGTCAGGAGGAGGACATGTGAGGTGTAGAGGAGGTCAGGTGTCTTAATGCCTGGTCCCCATGTGTGTGTTTGGGGTCTGGAGGCACCTTTGGTGGCTCACACACCAGCACCCTGGCTGCAGGGCATGTCAGGAGGAGGACATGTGAGGTGTAGAGGAGGTCAGGCGTAACGTGGATGAAAGCAAAGGGCAGTTGGGAACCCTTTGCGTGATCCAAATGAGCTGGTCAGAGAGACTGAGATAAAGAGGTTTCCTCCTTGGTATTTCATGGGTTTGTGTGGACACAAGAAACTAGACTTGGGAACAGAACTGGCAGAGCCCTGAACAGATACAAAAAGGATCCAGTAAAACCCAAGTTTGATGCTTGTTGGGCAGCATTAACCATCTGGACGGGTTTATTACACGAGATGAAGTATGGGTGACGCTGCCCAGAACACCACATGGGATTTGTAGATCAATTACCTCTGACAGAGAGGAGGGGAGGGAGTACTTGCTTTTTTTTTTTTTAACCCCAGGCACAGGATTGCAGGATCTTGGATGTGTTTGCCCTTTCCAGATAAATAATTCTGGCACGAGACAGGTTTCCTGCTGGACTGGCTTGTGCCAGCTGGGGCTCTGCCTCCCTGAATTTATAGCCGAGGTGGCTGACGACTCTGCAAACAGAGTCCCCTTCGCAATAAACTACTATAAATAACATCGTCTTGGCAGCGTTTTCACAATATTGGCTTTGAAGTCTTTGGCCTCACGTGACAAATAGCAATGAGCAGAAACAGACTGAAATGCCTGTGGTTTTGTGTCACGTGGAAGGACTCGGAGCCGTTTGAGGAGAGATGAAACTATTCAGAGGTCAAGGAAGTCAAATGTCTGGAGAGCCAAGGAGATGAAGTCTTGCCCTTTGGTATATTGGGGAAAACAGAGGGTACAAGTGCCTGAGAAACAGGCGTTTAATTCCCATACTGCCAGCAGGATGATTTAACCCTTCTGAGACATTTTTTTTCCCCAGTAAAACAGGGACAATTCACAGGACTTCTCTCTTTTGGAAAGACTTGAAGATAAGGAGGTAGAGCCTCCATGTTCCCCAGGGACAATTCACAGGACTTCTCTCTTTTGGAAAGACTTGAAGATAAGGAGGTAGAGCCTCCATGGGAGGGTCAGGGCTGGAAGGCACCACCACTGCAGCCTCAGGTGATTTTGGCCGTGACACTCAATTTCCTTCCTAGTGCAGGAGTCAGGGACCCTCTAGGTGGGATGCTCACTCCACACCCTCCCTGGACAGCGTCTTCCAGGGGTCTGCCACCCTCACAGGAAAGAAGTTCCTCCTCATATTGAGATGGAACTTCAAGTTTGTGCCCGTTACCTGTTGTCCTGTCCCTGGGCATCACTGAAAAAAGACCATCCCCATCCTCCTGACACCCACTTTCAAGTATGTATAGGTGTTGATCAAATCCCCCCTCAATCTTCTCTTCTCCAGACTAAAAGACCCAGGTCCCTCAGCCTCTCCTCGTAAGAGACATATACTGGTCCCCTCATTATCTTTGTAGCCCTCTGCTGTACCCTCTCCAGGAGTTCCCTGTCCTTCTTGAGCTAGGGAGCCCGGAACTCCACACAGTGCTCCAGATGCACAGTCCTACAGCACCTGTGACTCCCACATGGGTGTCATCCTGCTCTTCTACACACCTGGTCTCTTCTCCTACACTCGACACTGGGGCCAGAGGATCCCTGCACACCTCCACATCCTGATGGCTGACCTCTACCTGCTGGTGCCTCCCATGCTCAACCCACTCATCTATGGGATGAGGACCAAGTTGATCCAGGAGCAGCTGCTGAGCATGTTCTGGCAGAAAAGGATCCAGCCCAGGTCCTGACCCCAGCTCCATCGCCAATGCCAGGGAGAAAGAATAGGGTTCGCACTAGAAAACAATGGCAGCATGTTTGGGGAACAAAGAAAAAGCTGAAAAAGCTGCCTACTGGGAAAGTGGGATGACTCCTTCATCATCATGGCCAAACCCTGAAAGCTGGAGGCACCACGGAAAATTTGATTGGGGAAGCATTATTTTTAGAAAGTGAGTTCTGCATTCCTGCTCGGAGTGGAAAGATAAATCATGTTTAATTTTATCTGTATCTGTGGCCATCCTCAGATCTGTGTCCCTTCATGATTGTCCTCTTCATCTCAGCTCCTGACAAAAGACTGTTACCGCTTTCAGAATGAAATGTTGTTCACGGATTCATCCTCCCCATGTACCTTTTCCACCCAATCTGTAACTCTCCACTTTTTCACTTACTAGTTTTTAGCAGCTGCCTGATCGTGGTGCCTGGCTATGAGGGGGAGGAGTGGGGGGTGTTTGTATGCACATTTATGCGTGCCCACTCATCTGGCAGAAACAGATCTTGTTTTCCTCCCATTCCTGTCTTAAAACCTTACTGAAGCACTTGCAGCAATCACAAAAACCTGGCTTGCTTGAGGACAGGGTCTACAAATCACACTGAACCCCTGCCGTGTCACCTAAGGTTTTGTTCCTTTCTTGTTAGAAACACCAGCTGTAAAATGTTGTTTGTTCTACAAATATTTTTTTTCCCAATGTTTTAATAAGACTCCTTAACTTTCTGTGTTGCCATGTCTCTTCCTGAAGCATAGAGGCACCCGTAATGGGATTTTGAGAAGCTCTAGTGTTCCATAAGTCTTTGCTTGCCTCCCAACTCCTGTGAGATCCTACTCCTGGGGCTCTGGCACTTTGGCAAACTTGGTCTCCTCTTTGGAGACCATGTAACCCTGCACGTGCTGCCCTGCCTGACTTGGCAACAACATCTTCTCAATCAAACACACTGAATTAGGAGGTTTGTCAGTAAATGAGCAAGTCAGCCGCACACGGGCATGCGTTATCGACTCATTCCTTGAACCATGAGATGGACACACCAGGGATTCCTCTCAGTAAAGTTATGAAGGCTTCCTCAACTGGAAGGTGCTGGGGTCAGAGAAGAAGGGGACGTACCTGGTGGGAGCAGGGCTGAGAAGCATCACTGCAGCAAAGGCTGGGTGAGTTGGGTGAGGGGTTGGGTGAGTTGGGTACCCCGGCTGGTTTCTCTGGACAAAAACCTGCAGCAAAGAGTCAGGTAGGTCATCCATGGGCACAGGGATTTTGAAACAGAAGCAGCACAAGAGGATTTGCTGCTGCACTCTTTTCTTTATAAACTTAAAAAATATATATCTATTAAAAATGAGAATTAAAAAATAAAAAGAGTCTGGAAAAGACCCCATGACCCTCTCCGGTCCCACGCTTCTTGACCACATTCTCTGCCCCCCCAAAAAAAAGCACTATGAGTTTTTAAAAAAAATCTTAGACAACGTTGGCTTCTCACAATAGAAAATTCTCAGCCCAGCTTGCACGTTGTCCTCTCAGGGAGTTTGCTTTGCAACTGAATAAATTTAAGGGTAGGCTTTATCCCCAGGCACATAGCTTTTGTTCTCCTCCATTCTGTTTGCTTGCTTTCAGGGATGGGGATGTGTGGGCAGGGGGAGTGGGGAGGGAATATGTGTTGCGTTTGGTATTTGAAGGTGTTTCTGCAGTCACCCCCTGGATCACCGTCAGAA